CATATGTGGGATGAATATGGACTGAAACCCTTTTTTCACAATATATTCAACACACACATACACACACCGAAATAAAACCAACCAACAAAGCAACAAACAAATCCTGTATACGATTTATAATAAGAATTCATATCACATAGGTTGCTATAGTTTCGTCTAATATTTTTCTAGGCCATGTCTATTTTATTGAATGACCATTATGAAATGTAAACAATATTGACCTCTAAAAGACGACGACAATCAAAATAATAATAACAACAATGACCACGCTTGAATACATCTTTGTATAGAAAACTGTGATCGATTTTAAGGCGTGTGTGTGTGTGTAATCATTGCCCAACGTTTGGAAAATACACTATTGATTGCCCACATTTTAAAGATTACAGTTGGATAGGTTTCATTTAGGAAGGCGAATTATACTGCATAGATAGATTATCAACTAACTTTATTTAAAAGATAAGTGCCTCTGCTAGTTGGACTAAGCCTCGTAGAGAGATGTAGGTGTAGGCTGACTGGTTCAGGTCCTCGAGATGTGTCGAAGTGACGGCTGGAGACTGTTGGTGATATGGCACAGATGGTATCACTCCTAGTGATCTATCATATTCGCGTATTTCCATGTAACTATTCTTTATCCCGCACATTACTGCTGATTGCGCAGTTCTTTCGAATCTATTTTTTGACCCTCTCTTTAGTCTACCTCTTTGTGCGGTACATGGAGTGTAGCAGCTTGAACTGGTGCACCTCCCTGCGAAGTGCAATAGTGAAACTCATTCAACCAATTTGAAGAACTACTCAGAACCAAGAAGTTCGGTGCAGGTGTATCACGTACTGTCCTAGTTTAGTTCGTTAACTGATGTCAGTTCCATGATTTAAGCTGAAATCAATGAAACCTCCTGCAAACCAACTTGAAAATCATAACAAAACTGAAAGATCTTTTACCTCGTTGACTTCTCCTCAGCTGTTCACAACCAAAAGATATTATTTTCTAGTTTTGGTTTGTGTAGGGATTTTTTGTTTGATTCGTTAAAGGATTTAAACATGAGCTGACATCAGTTAGACAACAATTGGAAAAGCAACAAGGAATACCGGGAAGCCAGTTGTTTCGTCAGCCTAGTTTGCGACTCTTCGGAGGTACGTAGCAAGCGGGGTTACAACCCAGGACCTTCCGGTTACAACGCTAGCGAGCTCGTAGACCATTCGTCAGCCACTGAGATCCGAGCCAATGGCCAGCCCATGAATTCTATTTTCTGCCAATTCATAAAATAACGCGACCACCTCGCAATGTCTTCTTCGATGAGTTACTGCTTCACCTTCAATCCTCTGCACCTGGGTTCGAGCCCCGATGGGTGCTTATTGATGAAGAGTCCCGAACTAGGACGAAAAAGATGGCTGGTTTTCCAATGGTTCTCTAACTGACGTCAGCTCATGACGAAATCCCCCAGCCAATCAAAACAAAATCATTTTTATCATTTTTATTTTCTATGGCAAATTCAATATCTATATGTACGTCACTGAATAACAATGGCTCCAAGAAGCTGATGAGAAGCCGACGAAACAGAGAATGGTGGTATCATCTTATTCTGCACGCACAAACAGCTGTTCTTGCTTTATTAAAATTTATAAATGGGGAATAAAAGTCTGAAAGATCTTTATTGACAAAACATGAAAAGTGTCATACGACGTATATTTGTTTATAGCTTGAATCCACACAGTATTTTGGTACAACTATGGAATTTTCAGCATGTGACATAGGTAGCCTAAATGTAGCAGGCCGACCATTGATATCAGGTGTATGTCGGCCTGGGATCGAACCTCGGACCATGCACATGGTCCGAGAGCGTCCTAACCGCTGTGTCATCGACCTGGACAACCCGTCCTCACACAGGTCACCTATATCGTCGCTATGCTTGATGTGGACGCCCAATCAATATGAGCACCCATATGCCAGAACTCTCTGTCCCGCGAAATTCCGCACACTGGTCTCCAAGTGGCCACGTCAAGTCAATATATTATTAGTCACAGCAAAAGTCAAGGGGGAGGAGTGGGCGATGGTAGCAACAATGGGGATTTTTAAAGAAATACAAACTAATTGATCAAAATAAATGTTGATTTCTGTAGACTCGATAGTTAACATTTTAGACCAAGGGAATATGAAGAATACCACAGTATTCCTAAAACAATCGTACTCAGATCCAATATATGCATTAGATGCAGAACTCCATCAGCACGGGAATAAGTTGGATTCAGGAAAGGCAAATCATGTGGTGATTCAATTGCAACTCTTCGTCATCATCATCATCATCGAAAAGAAAGCATAGAAGGATAGTCGAACCTCCCTCTACCTCAATTTCACCGACTTTAAAAAAAGGCCTTTAACGGCGCATCACTGACCGAGAAGTAATTTGAAAACTTCAACACTATGGAGTGCAGTGCCCCAAGTCTTTATTAACCTTACTCAATAGTGGGCTATTAAGACAACGCCACGTATCAGATGATCCACAACGGAAAACTCAGCGACTACGCCTGCCGTTGAAGTGAATACATGAGTAAGACAAGACTATCTGATTATCATCACCGATGATATTCTTAGTTGTAGTGGATTGGATTATGCGTCAGACAGTGAGGAGTGACAAGACAGGAGGACAGAGGCGATGAAAGTATTCAAGCAACTAGCCAATAACAAGAACTAGTCACCGTTAACAAGATAAAAATTTGAAAGAGGTTACTTCCTTCACTTATTTAACCCGGTAGCATAGATTCAACTACAGGCACACGGCACGGATGAAGATGTGAAAACCAGATTTTGAAAGGCAAGACAGACTATCATCACTCACTAATCAGTTTGGAAATCTTCTGAACTCAGCATAAAGAATAAGATTCAGATTTTCAGGTAACTGGGTGCTTATGTATCGTTCAGACTTGGCAGGTCACCCAAATCAATTCCAACAGCCCAATGCAGACTTTTATGAACAGCTGCCCACTTCACTAACTGACTCCATACTGAAGATCAAATTGTTGGCTAGCCAGAGAGAATTAACAACAGGGGAACTCTGGGAACAAACCAACCAAGAACCTATTGCTCAACAAAAACATGTCAGGGAAAATGAAGATGGATTGAGCGCACACACTCAGGAGACCATCGAATCATATCGCAGGCGCTAGGCCATCATTTGAGTGGAAACTGAATGGAAAACGACGAGTGGGGCTCCGAAAGATGATGCCGCCGCGAGGAGGAGATGAGAGAATATGAGCAGTCTTAGGACTAGCTAAATGGGACTAGAGGGAATAGGACAAAGGGGAAATGTGCCGCTGAAGCCCTATGTTCCACTCAGGACCCAAGAGAATAATAATAATAATCTGTCTGTCTGTCTGGATTCAACATAGAACTTGGCGCCGAAGTGCACCAGTTCGAGTTGCCACATTCCAAATAGCACACAAAGGTAGACAACAAGATGAGTCAGGAGAATCAATAGAGTTTGACAAGTATAAGAGCGAAATAGAATGGATAATAGTCCAAAGGAATATGAAAGATTACAGAGACTGAATACATCTGCGCTGGCCATTCACAACGATTTTGAGCCATGTCACCAAATGTCTCAAACCATTGATTCTTAGAGTAAGTCCCAAAGGCCCCAACCCGGAAGTCTCCATCTCCCTACCTGACCGACTCAGTTTAACTGTCAAGGATTTCATGGATTGATGAGGCCATGTTTTGCTTTGGCCACTACTTACTCTTTTCCAGCCTGCACCTATATCAGTTAGTAATGCCCATCGGGGGAGGCGATGGTTACGCATGCGCACCACGTGACCTAACCATCTCTACGCCATCTATGTAACTTTATAGCCTCGTCGATTGATTTTCCCTCTTTGCCCAACACTCTACGTCTAACATCAACATTACTTACCTTATTATACCACCTAACGTGAGAAAGACATCGTAGACATCTATGATCGAAAGCAGTCAACCTTTTCATATCTTCAACCAGTATTGGCCATGTTTCAGAGCCATAGAGAAGGACGGAGCGAACTGCAGCTGAGCAGTACACACGTCCCTTGGTTGATAGCGGGATGTCACGCCTACGCCAGAGGTGGTGTAAGTCAGCGAAAGCAGCTCGAGCTTTTCGGATCCGTGGTGAGATTTCGTCGCCAATCAGTCCGTTGGTGCTGATACAACTTCCCATATAGGTGAAGTGGTCAACATGTTCTATCACTTCACTCTCTATCACTAAGCTAGGAGTTGACGTAGTCCAGTCCTTTAGCCTCATCGTCTTACATTTTACAGGGGTGAATCGCATGCCAAACATACAGGGATTGCTGCTCAAGGTGTTCAGAAGACTCTGCATTTTGTCAGAATCCTCCCCTAACAGGACTATGTCATCTGCATATTCTAAGTCTAGAAGACTATTCCCTGGTAACAAATCGATTCCTAAGTCGTTACGTTCAGTTAAGGATACTTCCATTAGCATATCTATGATGAAGTTAAACAGGAATAGGGAAAGTGGACATCCCTGTCGGACACCACTGGTTGTTATCAATTCAGATGACAATTCCCCATAAGCCCTTACACGACAGCGTGAGTTTGAATAGAGTGCCTTGATTAGTGCAATGTATTTTCTTGGCACTCCCTTCAAAGTAAAAAATTGCCATAGTACCTTTTGATCCACGGAGTCGAAGGCCGCCTTCAAGTCAAGAAATATGGCAATTGTTGGACGACGAAAAGTGTGTCTATGTTCTAGAATCTGTCGGAGAGTAAAGATATGATTAATGCACCCTCTACCTGGTCTAAAGCCTGCTTGATTTTCCCTCGTTTGTTCTTTCCGAGTTCTGCTTAGTCTATGCATGATTACTGAGCCTAGGATTTTAAAAACTATGTTCGTAATAATAATTACAATAATATGAAAACGGAACACACTACTGAAAAGTAGAGAAAAAAACACTAATAACAATGAGAACAACATACAAACGTAAAAAATTAAGTGTGCTGTGCTCTGTTTACTCACCTTTGGTAATACTTTTGAATCTAGTGTCACTTGACCAAATGATGTAGGTGGCTTAAAATTATTTGTATCCAAATCAAGATAGGCAATACCACCATTTGGAGGTAGACGAAAGAAATCAAAAAATCTTGAATTCATTCCAATTAAATATGGTGAGGGTGATTGGATGACATGAATACAACCCATATATATGTAGGGAATATATACAACTGTCCATTTTAATGGGAATATCATCTATTATGGGGAGAAATAAGAGCAAAAATCAAGTAATTTTAAAATGGGTTGAAGATGATTATTATTATTAATTTAACAGTGGAAACATTCTGATCCCTGTGCCGTCTTCCTCCTTCTCCTGATTTCACTCCTACCGTCTTAAATGGACTACACAGGGGCATCAAAACTTTAAAGTGCCCATAGTGGTTATGTCACTTTTGTTCTACGGGGTATGGAACCCTCCCTACCCCTTATTACCTAGCACTCGATGCCTTCCTCAATAGGCGGAGGGGAAATCAGTCGACAAGGCTGTGAAACTACATCGACTAAGATGGTTAGGACATGTGTTACGTATGCCCAGCCATCGATCGCCTTCCTCGACAGGCAATATTAGCTGACATAGTGTCAGGCTGGAAAAGGGTTAGCGGCGGTCAAACCAAAACATGACATCAGTCAATGAAATCCAAAACAGTTAGTTTAGGCCAGCCACGTAGGGAGGTGTAGACTTCCTGACTGGTTAGGGCCCCCGGGACAATAAAGATCAATGGCTGGAAACAATTGGTGATATGGAATTGAATTTTTGATTTTCCCATCGATTGTTTGGACCGAAGTGCTCGGTCTCAGGTTGACATGTCGGCTTCTTGTGCAGATGCTTCGACGATGTCCAGTCATTCAGTTAGTATACAATTGGTGGATGGTGGCTAGCAGTGGAATCCAGGATGCGCATTTCGTCCTATTTGGGACTCGTTAGCTCTCGTAGCCCAAGTGGTCTAGTGGATAAGGCTTTGGAGTTTGAAACTATGGGCACTGGGTTCGAGCCTCGGTGGGAACATCATCACTCATTGAGAAATGCAGGTACATCCAGCTGACGAGTCCCAAATGGGACGAAATGCGCATCCTGGATTCCACTGCTAGCCACCATCCACCAATTGTATACTAATTGGTGATATGGCTCAAACTCATCGTTCTCAATGGCCAGCGCAGATGCATCCACTCCTTGTGACTTATGATTTCCAATGAGACTATATTGTTCTTCGTTATTACTATTCCTTTGTCTCACACCTTTGTTTACTGTGTCTGTTTTGCATTTCTTTTATTTTTTGATTACACCTTGACACCACAATGTATTTTCTGTATAAGTATGGAATTTTCAGCATGTGATATCGATAGCCCAAATTTCGCAGGCCGACCATAGATATCGGGTGTTCATCGGCAGGGGATCGAAGCCCGGACCATGTGCATGGTCACTGCTGTGCCACTGACTCACTTCTACTTTCTTCGCTTGCTTTGTGTGCTACATGAAGGGTGTGTGGCAACTTAAACTTCCGCACATATGTGCAAAGTTCTATGTCGAAAACAGACAGACAGACCTACGGGGTATGGAGTTGTTGCTAGCCTTACGGACTTACTGAATTACAGTAAACTAGGTGAGATTTTAGAGTGATTTAGATAGAAAATTCAGACCTGACCTCCTGCATGGCTGACGATCTGTGAGTGAGTGAACCACCAACACTGTTTCTTACACAGTATGTGAATTTCGGAATTAGATCGGGGGTAAGTTACAAAACCAGTAGCATTTTCCGAATAATCAATCAGTTCCGCGCTCTACCCACCTTCCAAGTGGGACACACCGGCTTTAAGCTGGAGCTGAAAAATGCTTCGGTCAAGAATAGAATCCCCGACTATGTGAGGCGTGACTGGAGAGCAATCTAAAGCTGGACCACTAATACACCAGCTGACCAACGAGACATAATTTGCAAACGAAAACATTATTTCACTAAAATTACCAAAGGTTTACCTGCCACCCTTAGGCTATCTTTACACTGCCTGTTCAATAAGTTTCACCTCCTGTAAATTTCCATTTCAAGGAGGGAAGAAAACTGGTGGTTGGTGGTGACTCTTTATCTGAGACAGACTTGAGTTGACAGACTCTATTTACTGACGTGCAGCGCGATGTGACTGAAGGTGATCCATTTCAGCTGAACTGAATACTCCTCTTTTAACTACATCCCTTAGGCATTGTTGCCAACAAGCTAGATAGTTCGCCATCTCACACAGCATTCTGTGAATCGTTTTTTTAAAGATAGTTGGAGGCAATCGGCAGGAAGCCTTGGACTAAGGTTCTGTGCTTGTTGCCCTTCATCACCAGCCAGCATAGTGACCATACGTTAGAAACTTGACTGATAGAATTCACCCTGCACCAACACAACACCAAGGACTAGACGCATAACACCTATAACTTACCGCCTAATGTTCAATCTAAGTATTAAATACAGTCCTACTGAAGACGAGTAATGAGATCAAATAACTCAATGATGGTAACGTCTCTGACTGCTACACACAGGGTGATGTGGATTCAAATTTCAAGAAGGATATCGTTAGTTCTTCCAAGACTGCAGATATGCCTTGCTGACTGACTGACTGACTAGTGGTGAGTGCCAGCAAGCACGAAAACTAGGTCAAGCAAGGCTATCTGCCGACTACCTTCAACCATCTAATAACATCCTTGAATCATTTTTATCGTCGAGGATGAAAGAAATGTGCTACTACTTCATTTCTAGACGGCCTTATGACTAAGAAGGAGGAAGATACAATAACTGGTCAGTATATTCAATTTTTTTAAGCCTTAGGAATCATCCACGATCCGCTCTAATGACACTTTACTTACTTTACTTTACTCTAATGACACCCTTAACGACGACCTAAAGATTATTCACCGGGTGAAAAAGGATATTCAGAGAGTTTCTTTTTTGACGAGAATATGAATTCAAAGACAAGACAGGCACTAGTGAATGTAACGACAGCTCCAAAGAAAACCTTGTTTTAAAAAACTGCAATTTGATCGCAAATGTCAATTCTATCCTGAGAGTTCATAACAACACTCAATGACTGGTTTCAACATGGAACTTTGCATAGATGTGCACACTAGTTCAACTTACCACTACTTGCCATACATGCACCACACAAAACAAAAGAGGAGAGTAAACACAGGTTCATCAAAAGAGGGACAGATAATAGACAGAAAGGGCAGAGAGGGGGGAAAAGAACAGTAGTAGCAATATGATGGAAGAGTTTTATTGGATGATATGACAAATCCTCACAAAGAGTGAATGAATGCATCTGAGCCATCCATTTGACAACGGTGTTTTTCAGCCATATCACCGATTACAGCCTCTAGTCGTCATTGGTTCTTACCATCCTGAGGACACCAACCAGCCAGCCAACCAGTCTACGCCTCCCTACCTGGCTAGATGGCCTAAACTAACTGTTGTGGATTTCACTGACTGATGTCGTCATGTTTCGGTTCGATCACCATGTGCTAGCTATTTTCCAAACTGATCCATCCTGTCAGCTAACATTGCCCATTGTTTAAGAAAGCGATAGCTGGTTAGGCATGCGCAAAGCATGTCTTAACCATCTCAACCGATGTATTTTCACAACCTTTTCGATTGATTTTTTCTTCTTGACTTAGCTAGCCACTCAACGCCTAACCAATTAAATATTACTCACCCTACTATGCCATACCAACACGTGAGACGGGAGACAGAACGTAGACACCTATGTAATCAAAGACAACTAGGCAGTGTCTTCATGTCTTCCACTTTCAATGACCGTGTCTCACGGTCATAAAGAATGGCGACAAATGCCGAACGGCCCTTCTCAATCCGCGCTGAAATTTCACAACAACAACAACAACAAGAGCAAGTATTGATAATTGAACATCAAACTAAATCCCTACAAAACCAATACTTGAAAAGTGATCTGATGCACACTAGCGGCTGGTCCTAATCAGGCAATTGCCTGGGGTTCTAGTGGGCAGTCGTGACCAGTAGGGTGCAGCAGGTTGTAGATGATGCAGTAGCTCATCGAAGAAAACATTGCGAAGTGGTCACGCAATGACATGAATAGGCAGAAGTTAGGATTCATGAGCCATTGGATGGGGTCCCTGTGGCTTAATGGTCTACGAGCTCGCCTTATCACTGGAAGGCCCTGGGTCCAGACCCTGACGGTGGTGTGTGCATACTACTGAAGAATCCAAACTAGGCTGACGAAACAGCTGACTGTCCAGTACTCTCTGTGGCTGGTTTTCCAATGGTTCACTGACTGATGTCAGTTCATGATGAAATCCTCCATCCAATCAAACAAAATCCTTACTAAACCAATACTTAAAGATAAATAATAACAGTTGACCTTAACCAAAATTGTCAATATTTAAAACACGAAAATTTGTATTATTTCAAACAGTTTATGCACGTCACAAACACATTGATAGTAAATTTATTTTCTATATGTTATGTATCTGTCGCGCTTGGTATATTAAATTCTATCCAAACTTTCTCACTCTCTCTCTCTCTCATAATAATGTGAAGCCTATCTATCTATCAATGTCAGATGCACGTGATACACAACCCATTTATTTAAAGGAGTTTAGTTTATCATGAAATATCTCACAGTTAGATTATATATATATATATATATATATATATATATATATATATATATATATATATATATGAAGTGTTTATTTGCATGGATTTTATCGGTTACAGGATTGACAATTAGCTGATATCAGTTGGAGAACCATTGTAAACCAGCCACAGGGAATACTGGACAGCTATTTTGTCAGCCTAGTTTGGGAATCTTCATCAATGCACACTCACCACTAGGGTTCGACAGCAAGATCTTCGAGTTACTAGGCAAGCCCAGCTACTAGGACACAACCAGATCCAACGGTCACTGCAGGAATTCCAACTTCTACCAAGTTGTAATAGATACTCAGCGCAACCGCCAGCCTGTGTCACCGGCGAGAAACTGTCCTTCCGTCTGACTTGGTGAACCGTGCTGGTTACTTCTCAGTTGAATTCCAGGTAACTTCCTGTATGCAGCCAACCAGTCACCTGTGAGTATCGGAGTAATTATCAAGTGTTCATTCGTAGAGATTTGATTGGTTATCGGTTTGATAACTGAGAGTTAGAGTACCGCTGAAAAACCAACAAGGAGTACTGGACAACTGTTTTGCC